CATGGTGCCGCAGGTTTGAATGGCCGTCCTTCTGCTTCACCTATAGATTTGCTTGGGCTGAGTGGAATGGGCGCCTACGAATCGCAGTCAAATGTAACATTAAGGATAGGGATCCCTGCTGTTCTGCTGGTTGAGGTTTCATGTGCAAACCACTGTTACTGCAATCAGCCAGCTGATTGGGCTCTGCTCATGCTTTTTGTTTACCTTGCGGTCTGAACACAATGCGGATCTCAAGTAGTCCTCAAAAATCAAGTCAAGCAGTTCTCGTGGACGGTGTTGCTTGCAGGCAGGTGGTTTCCATAGCATTCACTGCATTTGACACTCTCCATGCGTGGCAATGTGTTTGTATGTGTCCTCTCTACCTGGTCAAACACCCATTCCTCACCCCCACCCCCCCCACCCCCCTGATGATTCAATCCGTTTTTAGATGTAACCTCAGGTTTGGGGAAAGAGCCAGCGGACCTCTTGGACAGGCAGAAATGCCTTGACGCTTTGGCTGCTCTGCGCCACGCTAAGTGGTTCCAGGTTTGGGACATTTTACTTGCCTCTTGTAGCCTTATGACACTCACAGATGCTCATCTTTAAGTGCTGATTTGGTCTGAGAAACCCTTCTTACCTGATAGAAATGTGCGAAAAAACTATAGAAAAAAATCAAGATTCCTAAAGTAATTTTTAGTTGTAATGTTATAGATTTCACTGACATTTTGTCTAACATCTAATTGTTCCAATGTAGTTTATGGTGCTACTTCATAAGGCTGCAGTGTAACTCTCTTTATGGTGATCTTTTTTTTTTTTTTACATGATGGGGGTTGAAGATAAAGAAGGACATCTGAATTGATTAGCCTTTGCTTAAAATGCAAGGCCAGTTAAATCAGAGGTCATTCTGTGGTTTTACCTCCTGATCTCTGAGGTCATGGTTTCCGGTGTGTCAAGAGATCCTCTCTTGCATGTTTGGCAAACTATGGCTTCTCATTGGCTACGAGGTAAAAGACTGCTGTTTGGGTTGGCTGTGAGCTTCCATTTTGAGCAGTGGTGTTGTACCTCTTTAAATGAAGACCCCCCCCCCCCAATAGTGAAATGAGATTTTGTCATGACAGAATTTTACTTTGTCGCACTCAAGGCCAGAGCTAATGCCCTGCAGTCCTGCGTGATTATCATCCGCATTCTGCGTGACCTCTGCCAGCGGGTGCCCACCTGGTCAGCCTTTCCCAGCTGGGTGAGTCGTGCCTAATGACGTCCTCCACTGCAGGTTAAAATGAACTGCAAGAGATTCAAAATCCACTCTGTTTAATGCTAAGCTTTGAGCTTGCAAGGCTAGTTCTTCTAATTTTTAGAGCTGTGTGTTTATAGCATTTGTCTGTTCATTCATCAAATAAGTCTGGAAGCTGAGGGTGCTGTTGACTTGTTCTTGGTGGGAAGGCTATAGATTTGTGTATGGACGGTAGGGACATGATCCTGTCAATATTGTGGGAGTACCGTGTGTGTTTAGGTGGGCGGGGGCGGTTCAGGGTTGATTTAGTCCCTATTGATGGTGAAACCAAACCTCTGCCCTTGCTTGGGGGTCCCCTATAAGGCCATGGAGCTGCTTGTGGAGAAGGCCATCAGCAGTGCCCCAGGACCACTGAGCCCTGGAGATGCACTGAGGAGAGTCTTTGAGTGCATCGCTTCTGGGATACTGTTACCAGGTGAGCCTAGAGGAGCTGGAGTGCACCCCCTAGTGGTCGAGCAGGTGCTGCACATGGTGCTGGAGAGTTGGTTGGTTTCATATCTTCACCATTATGTATAAGTATAACTTTGGCAGATGTCTCGTGCATAAGTTGAATTTATGGTCAAAAAAAAATTTAAATCATGATTAAGTAGAACTGGTATTGGTTTTTCATTATTATTTTGTAAGTGTAAGTACCTTTTAAAGTATAATATTTTACCTGCCCTGCTGACTCCTGTGTGGTCCTGCTTGTAGGTGGTCCAGGACTCCTGGATCCGTGTGAGAGAAACCCCACAGACACCCTGAGCCCAATGTCCAAGCAGCAGAGGGAAGACGTGACGTCCAGCGCTCAGGTGCTCCTGATACACACACCGTCACACTCACTCTCACTTGCATTTCTGAGGACTTCCTTGTCTTCCCCTGGCTGCATCCCTAACCCTCAATACTGCCTCTCCTTCTCCTTCGCTCAGTTCGCCCTGAGGTTGTTGGCTTTCCGGCAGATCCACAAGATCCTGGGCGTGGACCCCCTCCCCCAGATGAACCCCCGCTTCAATGTCCACAACAACCGCAAGCGGCGGCGGGACAACAGCGACGGCACGGACAGCTTCGAGAGAGAAGGGAAGAAAGACAAGAAGGACTCTGAGCCATTCTGAGATGTGGACGTGGCTCTCACCCTCACGCTAACTGTCACCCTGTCTGCTTAAACCTTGTTTAGTCCTGAGTTTTTCAGTCAGTCCCTTAGTAACTGCTGACCAGTGTCAGGATTCTGCTATGGTTTCCTTTTCTCCTCCATTTTGCTTTTTGACTTCTCTAACCTGTGACTTCTCCTCACCCTTAGAGGGAACAGTTTTGATCATAAGCTTAAAAAAACAACAATGTGATAAGTCTCCCAAGCTCTCCAACAGTCTTGGTGCTTTTTCGTGTGTTCTTTGGGGAAGAAGCTTTTTTTCCCCCCAAACAATAAAATTTAAACAAGTGACTATCTGTTATGTTTTTGAATTAGGGAAAGAGTTAATCTTTTATTACTGTTCATTAATGAAATTTGCAGGTAGTGTGTAGTCAGTGTGAGAAACACAATCTCCTGCTTATTTAAAATAAGCTATATTTTAATTATATATATTGTGTACAATGTATGACTGGACATGTCTAATGGTAGGTTTAAAAAAGATTAAAGCTGGTTTTAATTTACATCTTTGCTTTACTGTTAACGCTTCTGGGAGGATGAGTATTGTCATGTTTTTGGTGTCCGTTTATTCAGATTCCTGTGTGAAGTTTAAATGAAAAAGACGGGTAAATGTTTTTTTGTGTTTTCTTGAATGGATTAAGTTATTTAGGTTAACACCTATGTCTTTCACTTATTTCCTTTGAAAGACATTTCATTTGAAAGACTTTTATGGCATAAATTCATTAAATTTATGGCATAAATTCAGTAGGTTGTCCATGTTACTGCTGCAGATCGCAGTTCGCCGGTTTTATTCCTTCTGCAGTCCAGGGTAGGAAACGCATTTCCTCTCTTTCCCCGGCGAACAGGCAGGATGTTATTCTGTTCGGCTCCTGTCGGGATACATGAGGAAAGGGAAGCCCGAGGTGATGTCACTGCATGTGTTTTGCAAGCATTTCACTCCCCCCCACCCCTCCAGTTAGCAGACTCTCAGTGACGGACCTGCTTTGAAGGCGAACACCTCCCTAGTGTCTCTCGAAAAAAAATAAATCTAAGCCTCAAGTGTTTTTCGCTATTTAAAAGGTTGTATATATTCACCGTGTCTGTTACACCCTGAAAATAGTGGGAATGTACTTCCCCTAAATATAATTTGTATCGTGCCAGGTATACATTTTATATTTATGAGTCATGGGGCGGTGGGGGGGTGACTAAACAAAACTAGTCTCTTGGGAAAACGAACCAGCTCCGCGAAGCTTATTTAGTCTGCTTTTCAGTTAAAGCGGCATTTCTTGTTTTGTTTGTACAGCAGGTGATGAAAGCACCGGGTGTTCGGTCTGTAATGGAAAACGTGTGTGGGCCGGTTTTGCCAAGGCGAAGAGACCCTGCAAGTTCAAAGGATCGATGGGGTGTTGGGATCCTCCATACGCTGGGTTGGGTCCGCATGTAAACACGGGAAAACCCTGATGTTCCAAACCTATAGAGTCGTCATCGGTCTAGTACACCCTCGCCAAACAATGCAACCATCGATCACTAATTTCAGTTTGGTCTTTATTTTCATCTACTCTTTGAAGATCAATTACAAAAAGCTCATGACTAGCTAAATCTGGAGAGGGGGGTTCATTCTGCTGCTGCTATTGCGTTTTTGCTTAAATAAGAAACACATTTTAAGACCAATGAAGTGCTGCTTTGTTGTAAGACGGCATTTTTGGTGGACCAATAAAGCACGTTTTTAGGAACTTGTGCTGAAACCCTCGTGTCAATATATTTCTGTTTCCTGTAACTGTTTAATTTGATCCTTTTCACCCTGCATCTGTCACTGAAGTAAAAATCTGAAAAACAAGTCATACGTGAAAATTTCATACATTTTTTCCCCAAATACAGCTGACGTTTAATGCGCCAGCATAAACCTTGCTGGAAAATAGGCTTTGCCTTTGAATTCCTTTAATGTTTTTCTAACTTATCCCCTGCTATTCTGCACATCTGACAATTAATGAGAATAATGCAAAATGAAATACCTTTACATATATAGCTTTACTTATTTTGACTTTTGTGCCTTCAAATTATTTCCAGATTAAGTGTGATTACATTCCATTTAACATTTCCTGAACAACGGGGAAAAATGGTCAAACAATAAAAGACCCTTAAGTATTAATTTTAAAGTACAGATAGTCTGATTATTCAGAAACTTCAGGTATTTGCTTATAAGAGTTGTGTAAAACAACTCCAGAATTAAGGTGCGTCCGGCCATTTACAGTAATAACAAAAACAGAGGGAGCGTTACATGCATAGTGGTGGAAGAAAATAGCTCTTCACAGTTACTCCATTCAGGAAAACTTTCGTCATCATCTGTAACCTTTAAAACAACTATTATCAAGTTTTAAAAACTGTTATTGTGGTATTATTGTTTTCAAGTATACAAAACTTCACTTCCCACGTGTCTTTAGAACTATTTTTTTCGTTCTTTTTTCATCAGCTTAAAAATAACCCGCCAGACATACTGTGCGCTCCCCAGACCCTTTCCTAACTTTCCAGGCGGTGGGGACGGGGGCGGCGACAGCGGTTTGACTGACGGCTTGTCTGACCAATGGCATGGCGCGCTGATGGCTGCGCGTTCCCGGTGCAGATGTACGGGCACCCGGGAAGAGCGGCCGGTGACGGTTTTGCGGAAGGGGCGCGGTTAGCTGTCACCGCGGCGCGCTCCCGTGTTTGCCAGGGCTGCCCCCGCTTTCGTAAAGCGCCGGATTTTGGTAAACTTTGGGCGAAATGTTAAGCACTCTGGGCGGCGGCGGAGGAAAGCCTGCTAAACCGTCGTTTGTCTCCTATGTAACTCCAGAGGTATGTAATAATAATGTAGGCTTCGGTCTAAAGGTGTTTTTGACTTGGTTGGGGCATGTGCGACTGAAAAGAGGCGATCTTGTGTAAAATCCATTGCTGGCACTGTGATTTGTTGTGTTCAAGTTAATTCAGCCCGGATCCTAAGCCGCACCAGCGACTACTCTGCGCAAACTAGTTATTTCACAAATCAGTACTTGGTTGTTACTAGTTGGAGACAAGGAAAAAAACACAATGGCCGGAATTGTGGTTTGGACACGGCTAAGTAGACCAGACCATCATGTAGGTGAACACCATTTTAACCCTCAAAAATCTGTTCAATCCAAAGTGGTCAAAATTAACGAGGACAGGTGGTTTCGTTTACTTAGTTGCTATGGTAAGTTTAAAGTATGGCTTGTGTAGTCCTCGTAGTACACTTATTAAGTCCTTTAATTATAATGCAACCGGTCTGTTTTGGTTTGCATTCTTGATGTGTTTCGGTGATAAGTTCTGCTTCAGCTGAATGCATAACCTATCTGATGGGCGATGGGAGAAGTAACAGAGACAGAAGATTGCAGAAGTCTTTTTGAATCGGTATCTGTGTGTGTGTGTGTGTGTGTGTGTGTGTGTGTGTGTGTGTACATGGCTTTGGGATTCGATCTCGTGCCTCCAGCGTTACTTTGACTTCCAGATGCAGGTTCCCATGAGAAAGGTCTTCGTCTTATTTACGGGATGGCGGACTGAAGGTGGGGAACGCAATTGGAGCGACACGTCTGCGAAGCAGCTCCGGTGAACCCCAGTTACTTACCTTGTACTCCGCAAAGCTGTGCTGCGTTGTGTCAGTGCTGAAGTTTTTTAGGTCTTGAAATTATTATTAAGTTACTTATTGGCAGAGATGCATTATTTTGAGTACATTCCCTTCTGAAAGTCCCAGTTTGCCCTGGGGAATAAGAGCAGTGGCTGACAAATCACAGTAAAATAACTTTAAAGAAATCGCAAGTCACAGATCATCCGCTTGTTTTACTTTGCAGACTCCTCAGAGTATGCAGCATAAAAAGGGAAGCGATCCTGGCAAATTAGCCTTGCAAAATGTGCCCAGCTTGAAAGGCTGGGTGTCTGTACTAAGAAGTTGTCATGTTAATATGGCATTTAAGTGTGGAAACTTTCTGTTGACCTCCCCAGATAAAAGTAGTGGCCTGTATTGCAAATACTTTCTTCCCTTGGTTATATCCACTTTTCAATCAGGTCTGTTCCCTGTAATCAGTCATTTGATGGCAACTGTTTTTGTCAGCGAACAGCTGTAGAAAATGCCCATTGGCACTGATGGGCGTAGATCTTTTTTGCTGAGTCTTTATTAGTCTGACAAGTGTGGCTCCGTAGCAGTTGGAGTGGAAGTTAAGGCTGGGGAATCTTCCCTGTTAGCAGCCGATTTTGGCTGCTTTTTAAAAGCTGTTGGCCGCAGTTGGGGGGGGGGGTTCCTGTGTTAACAAGTTGGGATTTAACCTGTAAAACACTATGACAAATTTCAGGATATGGCTTTTGGGTAAACTAATATCCCTTTTTTGTTTTTCTTTGAATGTCTTTGACATTTTATTTTAATAGTGATTATATTTTGTTTTATGTTGAAATGTATTCCTTTAAACTTTATTTGAATCGCTCTGCTTTATTATAGATGTTTTTGGCATTTTTCCGGTCTCCTGGCCATAAAGGGGTGTTTCATTTGTTACTGGTTCATTACTGGTGTTTCGTAGCGAGGTTGTGACAGGAGTGATACCTGTCTTTCACCTTTAACCAAGTCCTGTAGCGTATAAGGTCTCAGCCCCACATGCATCTCTCAGGAAGTGAAACACAGCATCCGAGCGCCACGCCATGCGGGGGACGGCACTCGCATCCTGCAGCTTTCACGCGTTGGACGTCGGTCACATGACCGCCACACTGCACAATGCCTGAAAAAGCGACATGTGATCTGTGCATGGCGGTGCTGATTGGTGTGGGTGACCTGTTCTGTGGTACTCCAGCAGAAATGGGTGGCAATATGAGGCTCAGTGGGTTATGATGCTGTGATTGATCGGAAGTCATTGGGTCTAATGCCAGTGTTGCCAGGCTGATGTCATTATTTGGTCCTTGAGCAAGGCTCTGGACTTCCAATAGCTCCATGGAGTGGCTAACCCTGTATTCTCAAAAAACATGTCGCTTTAATCAAAGCCTCGTTAAGTTAACTGTAATGTAAATACTTTAGCTACAACAGACAGCTGTAAAAATGGTCACATCTTCATTTGTTTTGCAAGAATTTGTTCATGATGATGCATATATTTTTTTATTGCCATCTGATAATTTCATTAACTTAAAAAGAATAGCTGCTATTGGCCTATATACAATCTCTCTTCAGTGTTTTTTATGATTATATAGGGTTCTTGCACGGTTACATAGTGAGATCATGGTCTGAATCACATTAACGTCCCATTTATTAGAAGTAAAAATATTATTCCGATAAGGTCAGTTTTTAAACTCTAATTTCAAAATGAGTATGCAGTTTGGATTCAGAAATGTGGTGCTTTAAGCATCCAGAGCTACGTGCGTTTTAAATTAGCACTTTACTCCGCTGCAGTAAAATTGCTTCACGCCTGCATTTGAGGTGTGAAACATCATGGAATGTGGTGCTGTAATTGAAAATAACTTTGCCCCGAAAATAACTTTGCCCCATGCTCCGGCCAGAATCCACAGCAGTGCAGTAATGCTTTGTGTTAGTGACTGTAAACTCGTTCTGTGTTTACTTTGGATTGCATGTCAGTATGTTAGTGGATTTGAAGCTTATAAACAGCAGTGTTACTACGCTGCATGTTTTAAGCTTACAGACTGCTCATCAAAGATGGCGAATCCGGCCTCGTTATGGATGTAATGAATGCCGTCTACAGAGACTACAGTTGTGAGAAAGACAAAACATGATATGACTCCTAGCAGGTGGATGTGATGTTTTATATAAATTTCGGGTCACGATATGAGATGTTTCCGGAACGTCCTTTTTGCAATAAAACCAACTCTGTGCATTTACAGCTGTGCCTGTCCTTGATATTACAGTTAGCATTAGCGTCAACAATGAGCTGTGCTACTGTAGGTTTTTGCATGTTCTTTGCATTTCCACCGAAGACCTTGATTTGCTCCTGCAGTCCTGGTTAGGTGGGTCATCGTCTCCATTTTCCCTACTGTGTGTGTGTGTGTGTGTGTGTGTGTGTGTGTGTGTGTGTACTTTCCGCTGTGATGGACTGTCGAAGGTCTTCCCTGTTTCATCTCCTGCGGTTCCTGGGATAGGTTACAGGATCACTGTGGTGCCACATTGGATAATTATTTGTGGAAGATGGAGGGATGTTGCTGTTACATTAACCCAATGCCACTTAATCCGGACTGGCCTCCTGTAAAATGATGATGCGTACAGTGGAGTAACAGTTTGACCGGGCTGATGAGATTTTGGCTCTTTGTGCTTTTCTCAGCAATATCTATTGTCTTTATCAGTCTTCCTCTTTTCTGACTGATGTGTACTATACTATCATCTTACGCTAAGGGATTTTATTCTGTTGAACGTCATGTCATTCTGCATTTTTTATTTTGCTTACGTACAGGAAATAAATCAAACTGAGAAAGAATGCTCAAGAAAGGAGAAACATCCTGATTTGTTGCCAGGTAAGCTCTTAATTAGAATTAAATCTAGCTAGTTCTTCTTGCCTCAAATGTATGTAAAATAAAACTGTAACAATCCAATATGAAATAAAATTTTGATTTGTTTTGGCTTTGCACTGTATAGGTTACCAACGTGACCTTTGACCTTTAGGAAAGTCGCTGCCGATTGGCAGGTCTTGTTACGGCACTACTCCACTTGTAATTGTCTTGTCTCCAGGAGAGGTGATCTTCTGCAGTGCAGGGCCCGTTCTGAAGAGCATAAAGGATGATCTCTTCCAGCGGGTGGTTTACGGCACGCTGCTCTGCACCAACTTCCGGGTCTCGTTCATTAGTGACGAGGCTCCTTCAGATGAGGAGGCGGTGGGTGCTGGTCACGTCTTGGCAGGGTGGGGGCCTGAGGTGGCCTCTGTGCCTTTAACGGTAACTGATTGAGGGAGGTTTTTAGGTGCTGTTTCAGATGGGGCCGTGAAGTCGGACGAGCTACCTCAGATCTGTCTTTTTAGCTTGCGTTCTGTCTGTAACAAAGTACTGAGCCTCGGTAATAGGATTCGTTACAGAAACATACCTGTCGAAGGGCAAAACGCTTCTGAAAAATTGAAATATAAAGTTTTTCTTTTCTGAAGGACCCAGAGTCCATCATCGAAAGGTGTGGTTAGAACATAAATGGTGAATTAGTGGTTTATTTTTTATTTATAATAGTATTAGAAGTACACCAGAACCACCAGTATGCCTGATATGCTGCTCAATCCAGTATAAGTAGTCTGATCTGATGCCAAAAACCAGTTTGACGATGTTGATTCTGTCGTCTTTTTTTTACCCATTGTGTCACCAGTAGCACTTCGGGTAGAAGGTAAAAATCGGATAATAGTAAAGCTGACGACGAGCTGGATCAGACATTTATTACCCATCGGGGAAACCATGGCTCATTCTTCGTGTTTTGAAAGCTGCTCGGTTGACCAGCTCAGTGTCTCCTTCAGTGTTCTGCCATCGGATGTCGGGAAAACAGTGTCATTGACGTGCCGGTGGTACATGGAGCAGTGTGGCATGATGGGAACTGCTACCCACATTCCTTATGTAACTCTTTGTCCGAATTCCTTTGTTTAACTCTTAGCTATACTGACTGTGGGAAGCAGCTAAACCTTGAAATGGTTCATGATGACTCATGATGTCTGGTTAACCCAACCTGGTTAGTAATAATAAATCCAAAATCTTGTTATATTTTTCAGGCCCAGCTATTCAAGAATAAGCTGTATGGAGAGAACGACATTCCTCTGACGTGTGTCGATCACATCTACGGAGGTACAGCTGATTGCGAGTGAACACAGTCTTGTGTAGGATTATTGTAGTGTTAGTGATTAAGAACATGTGCAGAAAACTCTATATGATAAACATATTTGATATGTGATCATTTGTGACCATAAGGTCTTTGTGCTTCCTAGTAAAGAGTGCAGGTTACCCATGACCCTGTACTGGATAAACAGTGATGGATGGATGGATGGATGGATGGATGAGTGATATGCGATTTGTGTCTGCCTTTCCTCAGGTTTCGATGACAAAAAGAAGCTTATAATAAGTGGCTTTGTGAAGAACAAGTACCCCTCCAAGATCATCGTCTGCTGCAAGGATCTGAGACTCTTCCACTTTTCCTTGGCTTATGCCAAAGAGGAGGACGCCAAAAAGGCAGGAGACCGAGCCGCTGGTGGAGCGACCCCGCCCCTTCCGGCTGCGTCCGTCACTACATACTGCTGCTGTTGTGTCGGGGGTCCTTTAAGTATTCAGATTTTATTTTATTTTACACCTCACAGATTTTTCAAGGGATTGTCTACCATTGCCTTGAGCCCAAATCACTGAAATGCGTGTTTGCCTTCTCCTATGGTGAAAAGACGCTTTTGAATAAGGGTTTGTATTTGCTTTTCTTTATATAAGTTGGAGTAGCTGCTGCTTTTGAAATAAGTTTGTCTTATAGGTTGCAGAGCTTGTCGATACTGCTTTTGAACAGAATATCCCCCTGGGATTAGTAAATTTTATCTAACCTAATCAACTAGTAAATAGTAAATAAAAATAAAGTTTTAAAAAGCCATTTCTTGGCAAAACTTGTTGTAGGCTTTCTACAACCAGACTGTTTTCAGCTCTGAAGTGAGTCCAGGTCAAAGGACCAGGGACAGTTTGACTGTCTCTGTGCTTCTGAAATGTCGCTCGGTCCTGAGAATGAGCTGATCATTCTGTTTTTTTATTTGTCTTCTGGGGGTCCTGTTATGCTCAAAGAAGTGACTGAGCTATTCTTTTCCTGGCTTTGCTGGTTACTTCCGAGTAAAGGTCCTCAGAAGTAGAACAACTCATTAAAGTAGAAGGAATTTTCTTTTTTTTAATTTCAGAGAACCAAACGAAACCAAAGACTGTAATGTTTGACACCTCAGAGGACTGGGCCCAGGAGATAAAACGCACCAAAGGCAATTGTAAGCTGATTTCAAATAATGCAGATTTCAGCATCTCTGCGAAGTAAGTCTGCCCGTTTTAGCTCGTGATGATTTTTAGCAGAGTTCTCACCTCGTCTTTTCAGTGTCTGCTTGAGATTTGTTTGGTTTGATTTGTTTGGTGGTATTCATGTAGAATCTTTGGATCTAGAATTGTTTCAGATGGAAGAAGTTTCGTTTGGTACATTGCTAAATCCATGGCGTCGGTATTGGAGTATCGTATAACAACATATAAAATTGTAAAATAAACTTATAAACCATAATGGGTCAAGAGAGGCAGGTGTGTAGCTGATAGGCAGTTGAGTTTAACCCTTTGTTAACGTAGGAGCCAATTTCTGTGTTTCCTGGATCTCCTGTGATTTTGAACTTCAGTAATGTGAACGTTGATTGTAAGACTGCAAACATGGTGAGAGCTGGTGAATTTTCCGGTGCGTTGTTACCCTGTCCTGTGGAATTTCTGAGTTGTTATGCTTAGATTGGTTCTGGAGAAGTAGGGTTAGAGTTTTATATAGTCAGTGGCCAAGGTGTGTAGCTGATGAAATGTTCAGCTGTATGAATGCGGCAGGAATTGTTGCTTTGATGAAAACCTAAATGTATTGTGGTGATATTTTTGTGGCTGTTCTCTTCCTCAGGCTGCCGCAGTTTTTCATTGTCCCCACACATGTTACCCAGGAGGATTTAACAAAATTCGACGGGAAAGGGATCCCGGTTGGTATTTTTAGGGTCATTCATGTTGTTTTGACCTCCATCTGTCTGCCATAAAGAGGGGAAAAATGTCTGGAAAAAACTTTTATGCTGTGAGAAAAGTGTCAAGCTGTGTTCAAGATGTACCAAATGATGTGAATGCTGCAATATGATGATGATGGTTATGAGGGTCCGTGACAAGAGAATGAACATGAATTGATAGCATTGTAGGCTAAGCTAAAACATGCTAAGCATTCATTACTCCATGCCTTGCACTTTTAAGAAGAAAACATTGACTTAATTTATGCTTTGTGTTGTGTTTCTCTTAATTCCTCCCCAGATTTGGTGCTGGTCCCATCACAGTGGATGTGCTTTGTTCAAAACGGCCTCGTTGCCACTCATGCAAGAAGATGCCAGCTCCCAGTTATACAAAAGCTATATGGAAGGGTATTGCACACTCTGTCTTGCCATTATGAGTGTTTCAAGGAAATAAGACCATTTTAATGGGGCTTAAGATTTAATGATCACTGAGCAGCTGAAAACATAACTGCAGATTAACTGTGAGCAGTAACAGTGCCTCTAGAGATGGTGGAGTTCATCTGGGCCGGACCCAGTACATGTCCCTGTTTGGGGACCCTGCAAGAGCAGGACAGATGGGGAATGTGCAACTAGGGCAAGGGAGGGGCGATGGATAAACTTGGGGAATTTCTCTCCATATACTTCGGGCTTCCTGTGAGGTGTAGGCCCCCAGTGGAGGGTTAGGGTACTGCACTTAGCTTGTTCTTGGTTCACCGGAATCTCCTGCAGGATGCTGAACGCCGTGGCGCAGACTCACCTGTACTCCGTGAAGACGGAGGAGCTGTCTGACTCTCTCCCGACAGTCCAGGACATCCAGCAGTCCTACAGCAAGTTCAAACAGTTCTTCCTGCTTGGTGAGATGCTACTGTACAGTAAAGGCCAGACATCACCATTACAGAATCGTACAGGGATATTTATCATAAATATATAAAACCATAACTTCAAACAGAAATTCAGAACACTTTACTGCCGGTATGTGCAAAGATACCGGAATTGTTTGTGGTTCTCAGTGCCACATGGGACATGGAAGTACAGGACAATGTTACATATTCTTAGTACAAGCTCTTCTCTGTACAATATACATGGAACTGAAGAACATACTTGAAATTACAAATTTACAGGAAGTGCGGTGCAAAGATGCCTTAAAACAAATAAATCTACATAACAGTACCTTGTGCAAATGACTGCAAAGTGCAAGGGAAACTGTAAACAGAGAGGAAAGTGCAGATTTGAACAGATGCAGAACAGATTGATAACTTGGCTTTTGTTCAGGAGCAGAAATGTAACCTTGTTTATGACCCTTTCAGCTCAGAATATGTATCAGCTTACTGTCCTCTTCTTTTATTTCCCGGCAGATAATACTAATGATTTCTGGATGACCGACGTGAAGTGGTTCTCCTCGCTGGAGGGCTCCTGCTGGCTGGACATTATCAGGTCGGCCCGAAGCCTTTATGATGGAGCTTGTGGTCTCCCTGATCTGCGCGCTGACTCCTGGGGCTTCTCTCCCGTAGGCAGTGCCTGGCCAAGGCCGTGGAGGTGGTCGAGTGCCTGGAGAAGGAGAACACCAATGTTCTGATAATGGGTCAGTGGAAGATCTGGTGCATTTCTTCTAAAAAAGGATCCATCCACTTATTGGTGGATTTTGCTAATTCATGCTATAATACTATTGCACCCATTTAGTTGATGGGTCATTTGAAGACGCTTAATTAAAGCTCCCTATCTGTATAATCATGGTATATCATGGTGATTCAAGGGGGGAGTTCTTTTGCCTCATACCCGCAAGCCGCGTGTGGAGTTCACTGGGGATTCCACCAGTTTCCTCCTGTGGTTTAGAAACGCGTGGTTAGGCGAATTGGTATCTAACTGGCCCGTAATGCATGACTGCGGGTCCCCTATGAGGGCGTCCCCTGCCTGGTGCCCCTTGCGTCCTGTGATAGGCTCTGGGCCCGCCGTGTCCCCCACTGGATAAGCGGTCATCTGTGGATGAGTGACATCTGCCTGCTGCCTTAGTTCTCTTGAAAGTCCTCAGACTGACTTAGTGCCGTTGCTGAAGTCACTTTTGATGACTCTGCTTCTGCTACAGAGGAAGAGGGTTCGGACCTCTGCTGCGTCATATCCAGTCTGGTCCAGCTGATGTTCGACCCGTACTACAGGACTCTTGGTGGCTTCCAGAGCCTGATCCAGAAGGAGTGGGTCATGGGCGGCCATCGCTTTCTGGACCGCTGCAACCATCTGCACCTCAAGGACAAGGAGGTGGGTGAGAGCTGAATGATCTTGCCGTCGCTTCCTTGCTTAGTAGTGGCTGCTCTTGTCCAAAGCAATTGTGATGTATTCTCTGTGGTCACAGTGATGGCGGGAAAACAAAATGACAGACATTGCGTTTCTTTATTTAGCGGAAGCTTTTGTCCAGCGGCGTACAGGTGAGGAGAGCTTGGGGTTGCTCAGCATCCCTGCAGTAGATGGCCTAAGGGCCTTGCTCAAGCGCCCAGTGGCGTTGTGATTACTTTGCCAGCGATGGGATTTGAACCCACACACTTCTGGATATGGAAGCTGATCCCTAACCCATTTAGCATTTAGTGTTACACACAGGGCAGCTAATGGTGTTACTTACTGGCATCTTAATGAAGGAAGGAGTTCGTAATCGTAAGCGATTTACACTCTGCTTTTTCCAGCCACTTTGTGCTACCGATGGTAAATGAGATCTCAGCCCATTTGGTATCGCTTCCTTTTCGGCAGGCAAATCGACACGGATTAAACGATTAACCCTCTCCTGACTGTGCCTTCAGCCTAGTTTTAATATTAAGCTCTATGCATAGCTCGCATCTCCACTGTGTGGCAGGTAATTCCTGCGTCTCACCGAACTGGACGTGATCCTCCTTGGTGGGAGTCTGTTCTGATCGGGCCTTCGTATTAAAGCTATATCCTGCCTTTTTATTTCTGCTGCTATTTATGTCTCTCGGCGCTGGAAGGGAGGAAGTGGAAGCGACGGCTCACGGGACAGTGAAAGGGTGTGAATGTTGGGCTGATCTGTGACCCTGAAAGGGGATGTAAGACTCTGTCTCTCTCTCTCCCCCCCCCCCCCCACCAACAGCAGTCCCAGGCCCCCGTCTTCCTGCTCTTTCTGGAGTCCGTCTGGCAGCTCCAGCAGCAGTACCCCCCCGCTTTCCAGTTCTCCGAGACGTACCTGACGGTGCTCTCCGACAGCATCGACGTCTCCGTCTTCAGCACCTTCCTCTTCAACTCCCCCCACCACATGGCCTCCATCGCCAAGGTTCCATAAACGTTCCGCAATAATTTTTTTCTGTTTTTAACTAACTCTCGATTCTTTCTGTAGGTAAATATTCAAAATACAGTTTCCGATTGAACAGTTCAACAGATATAAAGTCAGCCATTGTTACCCTGTAGTTTAAAGCCACTGATTAAGTTTAACCAGAGGCGATTTTAGTGGGCCCCTCCCCCTGCATGGTCAAATTTATTACCTTTATGGCAAAGTGTAAATTTAATAATATCAACAAAGAGAATTCAATAAACACAAGACCTTTATTTTCCCTTTTGTGAAAAGTAGAATGTACAAATAAAGCCGATTTGTTGTTGCAGTAGGCTGCCCCTGGGGGGCCCCCTCCTATCTCAGGGCCCCAGGCCATTGCCTGCCCTGTCTGTCCTGTCGCAGCGCCTCTGAGATTAACCAGTCTGCTAGGTGACTAGCATGCCTGCTAATATTGGGTGTAACAGGCTAACCTTTACATGGTGGAGGCATTGGGTGTGAAAGTGTGTGCTGTAAATGATTCGGGCCTAGTCGGGTCTGCTTTAAATAGCCGTGTTGATTAAGCTCATCGGATACCGCACACGGCCTCGGTCCATCTGCCTTCCTGCTGGCGAGTCCTGCCCAGGCCCGTCTTCCAGCATGATTTTCCGTCAGCTCACGGCCTCCGTCTCTCTTGGCAGGCCATGTTGGAGCCGGGACAAAGGAGCCCAGTGAACTGGCCGACGGTTTGGGACTGGTCTGTGCAGTTCGACAGCAGAGCCCAGGATTTCTTCATTAATCCACTGTATATGGAACGCAGCAGACAGGACAAGGCTCCAAGGAAAATGCCTCGTCCCAAGGTGCAGGCCGCAGGGATTGTGATTGGCCAGTAAAGCCTCATTGCTTCCTGGTTGGATAAATGATTCATTTATGAGCTGCGGGTGGGGGGGTGGGGGGTAAAATCAAATTATTTTGTATTTTACCTTTGAAAGTTTGAATATTATACGATATGAGCTTCGTTTTGGCTCCAGCAGGCCCTCGCCGACGCTTACGGGGGCGGCGTGCCGCAAAGTTAGCATTGATTCCGGAATCTTCTATTCTTCACTTTAGCATCAGCGGCACCAGTCCCTGCCCAGTTCGGCTTTCAAGTTCTCCCCGTCTGCCAAGAAAGGCTTCTTGAAGGACGAGACCGACAGCCTGAAGAAGATGCTGAGGGTGAAGCGGCTGAGCCGCTGGATGAACTCACCGGACTCCGCCCAGGCGTCCACCCGGGAATTCTTTGTGGCCTGGCAGCGCAGGCCGCTGGACTACCACGGGCTACTTCTGCCCTGCCTCGAGGGGCCCACCCTGCGCCTCTGGAGCCAGAGGTACCTGCGCTGGATCCCCGAGGCTCAGATCTTTGGCGGCGGCTCCATCACCATCTTGAAGAAGCTCGCCGACCTGTTGGCAGAGGTGCAGGACCTGCGCGGCAACCTGGACCGGCAGGCGTGCAGGGCAGACTTCAACCACCAGGGGGTGGTGGCGCGCGCTAAGTCTTCCATCCAGCTCTCCTCCGCGTTTCCCTTCACGATGCCCCGAAGCAGGTCATTTAAGCCTGCCATCCCCATCGGGCCACTGCACAGCCTGATTACGGACAGCCTGGCTGACCAAGAGGACGAGGAGAATCTGGGTATTGTTTGAGGACAATGGCATTGGCCACAGTCGACCGAGAACTGAGTCCTCACTGGAGGTGGTTGTTGGTTCTGATGCATTGTGCCTAATATTTTTAATCCTTGATGGTTAGACACCTTGTGTCAAACTGTTTGCCTAACATCTTGGGACTATTTTTGCGGGTAATTATTTGCCTGGATGCACAAAAACTTAACATTAATGTACTAGTACGTAGATGAGGTCAGCAGAACATGATTTGTTTGATTTGCTTTTTCTTATTTTGAGAGGGGTCAGTTTTTGTCATGTTTACCTGAGCTGGAATATGGTCTCTGTAGTAACGACATGAGAGAGGAGGCGTTGAACACTGGTCTGTGGGATTTCCATGTGCAGCTTATCACGGTGTCCATAAACAAATAGATTCACTGACAGGGCTCCTGTCAGGTCTGCCATTGACTCCCCATATGGCTTCGCTTTGGAAGTAATAAATCTTAAGTAAATATAACCAGCAGACCATTTGATGAGCATGGTTTGTCACTGCTTCCCTGATACATACACATTACCTGAGCACCAGGAAGCAGGTTAGCATTAAGCATTTTTTGTTTAATTACACAGTTTTCAGGAGCATTAAGCTTATGGAAGTTTTACTTACACAAAAATATTCTGCAAGCAGAAGGAAAAATGATTAAGTCAGAGATAATCAGATTGTAGAGGAGGTGGGTCCAAGCATCTCGAGGAGGCAGGACCAAGACATCTGATTGGTTGGTCCCACCTCCCATAGTTGCTTGGGCTTGCCTCCTCTACAATCTGATTGGTTATCTCTCAATCAGTCATTTTTTTTCTTCTGCCCTTAGAAAAATTTTGTGTAAGTAAAACTCCCATGAGGGAAGCTAGTGTGATGCTAGGAATCCGACTGAGTGACAAAACATTAAAATGACTTTATGACCTTTTTGGGTGTAGGCTAAAGCCTCTTTATACTTATTTTGGACCATTTATGCAATGTTGTTGCTCATTTTTGTGCTATAAGGATCCTGTTTTTGTATAAAATTTCGTTTCAGTGTAATTTTGAGGTTAGATATTTAAGACACTATAATATCGTTTTTAGATCAAAATATACATCACACGCCTATAATTTTGAAACCAATCCACAGCTTAGAAAAAAATCCTAATTTTCTGTTTTGTATTTAATATGGATTTATTTATCGATCCACAAATCACGCTTCTTCATATCAGCTGTTATTCCCACAGTTATGTCGGTTATGGGTCAGATTGGTTAGAAAAATAAAGGATTCCGTGATGTCGAATATGAACAAAATTGTTTTACAAAACAAACAATCCCTCTCTCCTAATCATTTGTGACATGAATTACTCTTTGTACTGAACTTTTTTGAGCGTATGGAAGTATTTTTTTTTTCTTTCTCATTTTTGACATATGTGCATATAAACACGCACAAATTACTTTTTGTAAAAAATTTCTATTTTGGAAAATGTTTTGATATGTATAGTCTTTATATGACATATATATGAAATAACTGAATAGCAATGTATATTTTTAATTGGATGTAAATAACATTAAGATCCGCGTGTGGTGTTGTCTTAACACACATTTGCTGATCATTTATTGCACAATAGTAATTCAGTGGGATGTTTCCTTTAAATGCCGTATGTCTTGTGTACATCTGGGGTCACCAAGTTATTATTATCTGATTATGAAAAGTGTCTCAGACGGTGGCGATCTGCTGTCTCAGACTGCGATGTAATGGGTTTGTGATGCATTAATGAAACCAAACCGGCATGGTGTGGTATGGAGAAACGTGTGAGATGAGAAATTACTTTTAGCGGAGGCCTGAAATTCATGTGGTTACATCAATTTCCCAACCCAGTCGTCGGGTCCACAGAGGGTCCTCGTTTTTACTCCCTCCCAGCTCCCTGCCAGACAGTCCACGTTTTTGCTCCAGGGAGCTGGGAGATCTGGAAACACTGGGTTAGATGGGGAGGCCCTCAGCACAATGCTACTCCTGAAAATAAGCTCTTCCTTGATGTTCTCCAGAATATGTCCAGTCATCTCCATTGTTTCCCCACTGACACACTGAAACTGCTCTGCATGTAATGTACACTGCTGATGTAAAATGAATGTTGTGTATCTGTCAGATGCATTTGGTATTAGGGATCAATGGGAGCAGAATGTGAACCACTTAAATTATTTATCATTGTTCTGTTCAGAACAAGGTCCAGTCAATGAACTGAAAGAAACTGATATAAAACTGTATATGAAGCTAAAGTGTGTGTGTGTGTGTGTGTGTGTGTGTGTGTGTGTGTGTGTGTGTGTGTGTGTGTGTGTGTTTTCTCTCAAACTTTTGGAATAATTTTTTTTATGGTTGTGGGGAGTCACCACAAGCTGTACAGGGTAGAGCAGAAACTGTCAAAACCTTTTATGTTTGTGTTTTATTTGGGTCAAATGTCACAATATTGTAAAAGTACAGTAGAAATCCTTACAGTGTTGGTTGAACAAAAGTTTATCTTTCTTCCTGAATGTGATTTTAAGTAAAAAAATATTGTACCAGTCAAAAATTTGGACACACCTACTCAAAGGAAGGTTTATTTATACTATTTTCTATGTTTTATAGAAAGACAACAAAACTAAAATAATTTCATTTACATTATCCATCGTGGGAATGGACTCAGAAGGTTGCTGGGTCAAATCCCGCGCTCCAAATCCTGTGCTTGGCAGAGTGATTCTACCATTGGGCTCTTGAGAAAGGCCCTTAAAAGGAATAGCTCTAGGGTCTAATAACTTTAGCAGGTCTGCCTCTGCTCTCTCAATTGTATGCTACCTTGATAAATGCATGTACTAAGTAAGCAAATGCTAAATCTTGTATTAAGATTCCTTGAAGTAGCTGCTTTTTGCCATGATGACAGCCTTGCAATCTCTTGGCATCCTCAACACCAGCTTCATGAGGCTGTGCTGCTTTCCCAGCTGTCCTGAAGGAGCTTCCACATATGCTGAGCTCTCATTGGCTGTTTCTCCGTCATTCTCCACTCACATCCCTCCCAAACCATCTCTAATGGGTTTAGGTCAGGTGGCCAGGTCATGTGATGTGCCACTCCATCGCTCTCCTTCGTCGGATGCTTGAGGGTGTGCTTTGGGTTGTTGTCCTGTTGAATAACAATGCAGGTATGATGGGAGGCCTGTCCAAATTTTTGACTGGTACTGTATGTTTGGTCGAGCCATTCGGAACTGGGAGATCACTGCATTTCCTGGAATTCTTTTCCTGGTCACGAGTCATCCTATATCCTGTTTACAGAATTCTGATGTTCATTATTCATAAACCAGTTTTCACCATAAGTATAGCCTTTGTAAAGAATTTAATATAGGTGTACAGTTTCCATTAACTTTTCTATCCTTGTTGACATTATATATTAATAAAACATGTAAATAAAGGCTATTTTTTGTACAAAGGACAGGCATTAATACAGGAGTACATAATGATATTATGTTATGTGTTTAATATTTTTCTTTTGATTTGGTTTCTCGTTTGAAACATTCTTTGAGGGTTTATTTTTTCAGATGTAAAGAGTTCCTATACTGGGTGATTTAAAGGGGAATTTCAGCCCAACATATGTGTATTCTGTGCTTTGCATTATTACAGTTTTTTCTTTGTTAAAACATTATTCTTCTGATGTTGGCTGTTTTTTATGTTATTATTTTAAAGTTTTCTTCTGAAATTAATAAGGGACCATCTTGCCTGGATGTTGATTAAATGTCCATTGAAAGTAAGGTTTTTGCAGGTTGTTGATTTTCCTCTGATATCATCATCAGTAGTCACCACATTCATTGTCTTCAGTCATCCAGCACCCAAAGCAGTTTCTGATTCTACGTACTTTTACCAGAAACCCTTCACTCCGAAGCTGCAAGTCCCACCTGATCTACATCAACTAATTGCTGCAAAGTCCGCAAAACTTCCGACTGCCATCTATGATTAATACACCAAGAACAAAGCATTCATTTACATACAAAAGTTTTTTTTTTGTGTAGATCCTTGAACATGAAGTAGAACTTTTAAAATGACACCAATTTTGGTGGAATTCCCCTTGATAAAAACGCCCACTTGATCACACACTAGGTGGTCACATGATGTTTTGTTCACAGCTCCATGACTACATTAAACTAGCTTGTCAGGAAGACAAATGTGGTTAAAAACATTTCCAAGGTTAACGTTTCATTAAAAAGAAGCACTTAGATGAGCAAACAGAGCAGCGACCAACACCTGGACATGCCTGAATGCACATTCTTTCCAAAAGTGCAATAAAATACTGACAAGACTGAAAATTGAAAGTCTCGTTAGCTATAAGAATTTTTTTTCATTGTTTGTCTAATACTGCTTAGTAAAATAAGTAAATTCTTTCAACTGCATAGGTATATTGCGAGTTTTAATTGTTTGCTGGTTCATATTGCAGAAATACTTTGACAGAAATGGTTTTGAATGCTCTGATTCTATCTGTAATACTCCTTTAATATAGTGAAATCAGTTTGTTTCCTTCCTCAGCCTCTAGAAAGTCCAGTTAAACCAACTGAACGATGATCTCCACAAAAAGCTTAACTTCCCTAAAAGGGGATTTTAAGGGATACCTGAGCAACCATTTGGCTTTCTGTCATGATTCATTCAATCCTGGATCATCTCTTCCAGGAGACGCAAGTGTTCAAAGGGTTTAAGTGCAACATGTTTCAAAGTGGACAGACATGTGAAGAGTTCAGAAGCTGAAACAATGTCTGGTTGTGCAGTTGGACAGATCGCTGCTAATTTAAAGATACTTTCTGTCACTATTATTGTTTTTCAATATCAACACAACTGCTAATCTGTTTTGACAAAGCAACTATTACTAAATATGCTTTAAACTATTAATGAAGACAGACATAGTGGTGTGTAGCTTTGTGTGTTAAGCCTCTAAGCCCATAGCCAGAAGGTTGTAGGTTCAAATCCTGTGCCTGCCAGAGTAATCACATTGATCCCACTGAACTTTTAACCTCTGCTGTTTACAGGACTCTACCAGGCCGTGCTCTTTCACCCCAAGCATTGCTCACTTGTATGTCACAAAAGTGTCTGCAAATGAATATGACAGACTGCATTATTTCTCTTACTTCCTGACTGGTAGCAAGAGTGGTCACTCCCTAAAAACCACCCTTATGCCTCAAAGAGTGACTTAAATGGGAAGAAATGCAAAAACTAATTAAAGGACGATGCGTGTCACGCGCTAAACCAGGAGTATAGTAAGATATGGAGGAGAGAGCCGGAGAGCGGGAACTTTGGGTGGAAAATCTGCTGGTTAAAAAAACAACATATAGCACATGCTGCCACCTGCTGTCCTGAGTGCAGATTACAATATTTCCAGCATTTAAACACGCTCCCCAAACCTGTCATTGTTTTTCTTCTGAGATAATAATTGTATCAATTAATGAAAGTTATTAAGTTATTAAAGTTATTTAATTATAAAAATTACATAGTTTTGAAGGGGTAGAATGGAATAATTAACTAGTTCTCAGTGGTGTTCATGTTCCTCGGTTTCAATCTTGTTGTCCTTTGACTTGACATGGACATAACGGATGTGTATGGATCCTGTGGAACTGCGAGGTTAGTGTGTGACAGGAGATATTTCATTCTTCTGTTTCTTGTTTTAAGAGGACTATGCCTGCATGCAGTTCTAGATGGCGCTGGAATATGAATCGTACCAACCGTACTAACAATTCCTTCGGGTTAAATTCCTTCTAAATTTGTTCTTAAACTACATACCGGTATGTAGTACAGATTCCCCTCCTTCAAGTGTCACCATTCTGATTTTCTGGTTTGCTATGAAACATAGATAGATGCTGAATAGGTTATTTGTGCTGGAATAGGTTATCAAACCACAGCACAGGTGACCTAGCACTGCTATGAAAGGTGAACCGCATTTAGTTGTCTGTTGGCGGTGTCTGATGATGTAGGTATATTTTTAGAGCAGGTACCTCCCAATAAAAGAACAAATAAGCAGTGAATAAATAAATAGGACACATTGCAAGTTATCCATCCACCAAACAATTTCGACAAGTATTATGTAAAGTTTCACTAATTAATGCGATCAAGTAGCTGTAGCTGTATTTCACTTGAGTGCATTTTATCCACATGAAGTTCCACCCTTTTGTTCTGGAGAGGTTCTGAAGAGGAAAACTCGGGATAAGTCTAGAGATCATCCTCATCCCTCACGTTACCTAAAGGGGACCAATGTGTCACATCCACGGCTGTCGTCATCATTTCCACCATATTGGAGAAATAAGTTGGAGAAGGAGAGGAGTGGAAAGTGGAGCATAAGCGGACGTGAACAAATGATTATGCTGACAGTGCCGTATACATAGCAGAAAAAACATCTTAAGAAGCGTACCGGGGAGTGGATGCGTGTGCGGAAGCGCTGCACCGGCGCTGTACTCGCAGGGGGGAGGTAGGGATAGCCGTGTGCGTGCTCGGCAGCAGGGAGAGGACTCGGGAGTCCCTGTCAGGCTGCGGACCATGACTTCCCTAACGCAGCGGAGCTCCGGCCTGGTGCAGCGGCGCACCGAGGCGTCCCGTAACGCAGCTGCCGAGAAGGAGCGCGACTCCGCGGACGAGGAGAACGGACCGCGCCGCGGTGACGAGCAGGACAGCGACGACGGCGGGGACGCCAAAGAAACGCGGCTGACGCTCATGGAGGAGGTGCTGCTCCTGGGCCTCAAGGACCGAGAGGTTTCCGCGTTTTCTGGTTCTGCTTTTTTATCCTTATTATTTATTATTAGGGGTCCAAGCAGCGTAGCTGCAGGATGCCTGTTGTATTTTGTTCTTCTTATTACATATTATTATTTTTAGTGTTTATTATTGTTGTTGACCTATCATCATCATCATCATCATCATCATCATCATCATCATTATTATTATTATTATTCTCTACTATAATAGTTTGTGGCTGTGGTATAAAACAGTTTGATTACTTAACCGGCATGTTTAAAGGAATCTTGCATTAATAGAAGCGTAATTATTGTGAACTGTGGCTGTAGATAAAGCTACAAAATGTTGATTTGACAGATAAATCTCATGACAGCGAGCAGGAGGTAAATCCGCTTATTGGTTAGATGAATCGTAAATTGCTGTCATAAACACCCAGTCCTTTAGGGAAATGAGCCTGCCTGCCCTTCAAGGAAAGCGCCTTTCCTGCTTTATAAAGTCTTGTCTTCGGTGTTGCAGTTCCTTGGCTGAATTTACACGTCGCTAAATTCCTTAAAGCCTTTCGTAAAATCCCATAAACTATTGATCACCCACGCATGCTTTGACATAAGTCCGAATAAACGTATGTTTTTACGTGCCACAAATGATAAAATATAATTAGTACATAGCTATTTATATTCTCCTTTTCAATCAGTCTCACTAGCTGAGATGTAGCCTATTCATCATCATCATCATATTATTATTATTATTATTATTATTATTGTTATTATTATTATTTTTAACTTGGCTAATGGAAACTCCTATTTGAATCACGGCACGTGCACGTTGCTTTACATCTGTCTATAAATAATTTGGCCATCAGCCGACTGTAGTACATCCCACGCAACCATTATGCTTCATTTAGCGCGCATCCCCCGAAATATCCATCTCTCACACCTAGAAAACACCGCATTAAAAATGTATTCTCAGAAGCAGCTTCACCAGATACACAACGCTGAACCTTCGAAGTTTCACCTCCCTTCATTAGGCAAATAAATTCATCAGACAATGAATTAAATTCTACTTTCTACGACAGAAAATGTAGTTCTATATTTCCGAGTTGTTCGGCCCGTTTTTCTGTTCCTTTTTGTGAATCACTCAGCGTGTTTGCAGCAACTGTGTCAGTAAGCGGTTGGGATCAGGGGGCAGGGCGATCGGGCCACGCTGCAGATGGGGCCACGCTGCAGATGGTGCACCTTTATCACAGATTATTTTCGGAAGTCAGGTGGAGATTAAGTCAATTCATTCAGTGGTGTTCCTTTGAAATTTAAGATGGGGTAGGATCAGTGACTTAACTAGAAATTTGAGGCCCCTCTAGTATAATTTGCAAGGGAGAGGGTGGGGGGTTCCGGTAGATTTTGCCAGGCTTGGTGGGACCCCAACAATATATTTTTGTGCCCCTAAAAAGCACCAGCCCCCACCGAATCTGCGAAGGGTTCCGTGCCCCTCCGACACCCCTGGGGAGGGTCTGAAATAAAGTGACTAATGCTGCGCTGTCTTTTTTTATGCTATTTTTTTGTGTATAAAAAAAACAAAACCCATTGCACTATTAAATATATATATATATATATATATATATATATATATATATATATATATATTG